TGATGCTTGCACCTCTGAAATTTTAATTGCTGGAGTCTCTGTACATCATCACTGCCCTACACGTTTCCACCTTGAACTTCTCATCCACTGATGATATCTATTCACTGTATTCAGAGTTATAACTTTATTATTCATATTTACATGTATATATTCAGGCTTATAAAAAATCATATTTGTATCTTTATAATCAGATTACATTTATATATTCACAATTTACATATAGTTATTTTCTGTTTGGCTCCTCAGTATTGTAATATATACATTATAACATTATAAAATACAATACAGATATTACTATACCCAACAGATCAACACCTAAGAAATGAGGTGGGTATTTTCTTTTTTACAAGTATTTTTTTTACAAGACTGTCCATAATCATCCCCTCAATACAGGTGGTCTGAACTCTCATTTGTTATCTCTTTTATTCACGGGCATTTCCAGTCCCATTTTGTGCCAGATGTCTGTTGCACATCCAAGCCAAGTTCCAAGCCCAAAATGCGTAGACTGAGACAAAACAGAAATTCCAGCTTCACACGCACAGACCACCAGGAGGTTTATTGAATCATTCAGTCTTCAGCAGCTTTTTTCAGTATGGCTTTACAAAATTGACAAGTACAGCTATAGCTATACCATTCAGCAAACCATGAGTCACTGCATGGGATAAATGTGTTAGAGGTTGATTCTCTTTGTTTCCTTTACAGGGAAGTAAAGAAAGCAGCCTTTAAAGTAAATATGTGCATTCCTAGACACCCCATTCATACTTTTCAAAACTGTAGAGAGAAGTTGAGTAACAATATTCCTCTTGAATGTTTGTAAGTGTCTTTGACATCACTTTGAGCTAAGTAGTGACAGTATGAGGTGAAATCATTAGCGGAAGTCATCTGGAGTTTTACACCCCGCTCAAAACAAATACACAAACCTGTATCCTTAGCAACAGGCCTTACCTAAGAGATTTAAAAAATGTGTGGTTCTGAGCTGAAGGATTCTGAGAGTATATTAACTTTACCCTTACAAGTACAACACATCCGGTCAATACACATCCACTCACCCGTCCACTGAGCCTACTTTACTTCAGATGTTTAAGAATCTCAAATATTTAAAATATACAGAGAGACATTTTACATTTTACTGAATCAGATCAGAAATGCCCATTATTAACTGAGAATTAATATATATATATATATATATATAGTGACAAAGTAACCGAAATTTGGAAAAGGTTCTGTCCACTATCTTAATCTGGTGACTATGATGATTATATGAGATTCGAACTGTTTTCAGTTTCTTAAGAGGATGTATATAAACAGATAGGAGATGCGTACACAGGTGCAGAGGTTTTGCGTCACTCTGTATATTTGGTATATAAACAGTGTGGTGCTGATACTAATGCATTTCCTGTGTTTGTTCAATTCAGATGTCAAGGCTTATATAACAATATTGAGCTTAAATAAACACCAAACAGCAAGTTTGTGATTTTTTTTAGAACAAAAAGTTATTTTGAGTGTCTTGAATGTCAAGTATTAACATAGAGAGCAATATAAACTCAGTTGTAAATAAAAAACTCTCAAATGATCTCATTCAGCTGACCTTAATATGGAATAAGAAATTTTTCTTTTTCCAAAAAAAAAAAATTATCTATAAAATGTTATAATTGATAAAATATATTATCAATATAACAATAAGAGCAAATTGTTTTTATAAAAAATGTGAATGTCAGAATTGTAATATTTTGAATTTTACATTTTTCTTTTTGATTTTTTGCTTTTATTTGTTTATTTATTATTATTTTTTTTACATTTTTTGTTTATTTTGTTTATTTCACTGAACATCTGTATTATTTGACTAAAATTCAATAATGTTGAATTTTACATTTTTCTTTTTGATTTTTTACTTTTATTTGTTTATTCTTTTAAGGTTTAAATTTTTAAGGTACAAAACTAAATGACATGCACCTGTTCACCTGTTATACTTTTCACAATGCCAGCGGTGTTCAATGGATATGTAAAAATCAACATTATCTAGAGATGATCTGAAGCGTTAATGACAGCTCCGTCACCGCTTGTCATGTTGTATCAGTTCTATGGTGTATTAATCATCAATTTGTCATGCTGTAGCCTCATATCAGTGTCTTCACACAAAACAGAATGACATACACTTTTATGCAATCAGGCTAATATTTATACAAAGTATTAGCAGTATTGAGTGGGTTTCAGGTGAAATTGTCTAAACCAACTATAAGTTTGGCATCTGTACCATGCTAATAATAATAATTAAAAAATGTTTGACTTATGGTCTGAAGATCCTAGTGTGCTGAATTTCATAACATAAGCAATAAGCATATTTCTTGGTCATATCCAATTAAAAACAATTTACGTACAGGGAATATCAGATTTATTCAGAGTGGTTCACTTAAGGTAAGCATTCCTGAACTTCCAGGACTGAGTTATGTTTGTTTTAGAGCGTCATTTCCACTGCAGGTTATGATAAAACCATGAGGTCATCAAGGGAAACAGACATACTTCTGTGGTAGAAAAGTAGAGCAAGTTTCCTGCTGGGTCTGTCGTAAATGTGGAAATTCATGCTTCCTCAAAACTTTCACTTCTTACACAACAGACTGTCTGACTCCTTTATATGCACAGTGCCAGGCACTGCGGTTACTTTCAGGAAGGTCAGTTGGAATGAGTTAGAAAGCATGAACTTATGAACTGCCACTTAAACGTCCAGGCATTATTGTCACAGGATCCTTCAGAAATCATTTTAAGATGCTGATTTGGTGCTCAAAAACCATTTATCAATGTTGGAAAAAGTTGTGCTGCTTAACATTTATTTATTTTTCAGGCTTCTGAATACATTATACACATGTCTTTACTGTCATTGTGAATCAACTGCATCTCTGCTGAGTAAAAGTAGGAAACGTTCTGCAATTTAAGCAGCTTACGCACTGTACAAATAATTTACATCAGAAAAAAGGTTAAACACCTAATTGATGCATAACCAGCTTCGGAAAAAAAAAACCTGATAATGATTTAATAGGGCTTTAAAAACAGATCTAACAAGACAATAGATTTCTTATTATTTCATGGTATCTCATTATTATGGTTGTAAGTTTTGAGGTAAAGCTGGGTTTTTATGTTCACGTTTGTTATACCATTAAATCATATAATGATATGAATTCACAAGGCCGTTAGATGTGGCTAATTTTCATACACATTTCTTCATGGTCCTGAAAACCTTTTCAAGCAACGTTCTAACACGTATGCTTGAAATTTATTTAGTATTTCCTAGGATTTTAAGGATGAGCACATCTTTGACTGCCAAAAAGCAGAAGAAGTTAACTGCTCATCATTCATGTCAACTACTTCAGCACAGTTTTTAAAAAAATGACCCCATGCACCTCTTGAAGTTGAGGAAGAGAGGGAATAAAGAGTGAGTTGTTATCCAGATGATGAAAGAGACTAGGTATTTGTTTAGTGAATAATGGACTTCGTCAAAAGAAAAAGTAAAACAGTAAGTGTAATGCTATAGTCTACAGTTCCCACCCCTCAACAATGTATGTCAGCAAAGGGTGTGTTAACGGCTCAGAAATATGTAAAAGAAATGTGCAAAGCAAACTTATTGGCAGATTGCTCTGCACAGATAAATTCAATAACATAACAAAAGGGGAGGTGTCTTTGAATCCACTAATACAGCTCGAGCATAGAGTCTTTCAAACCTTCAAAACTTTTCAGTGGATTTTACCACCATCTAGTGATGGATAAAAACTAATTTCTTTGCTAAATATAGTGTTTCCGTTTTCTTGAATATTGAACTTGTCCCGTTGCAGAATGTGAGGGAATGTAGCCAAGAGAAAAGGACATGAAACAACATGTTGGAATCGTCTTGGAAGTCATGTGCAGACAAGAGGGGATATCAGTCAGTACATCAAGTCTTTTTCACCTAAACATAGTTGTCATAACACTTAAGTGTCATAAGGCAACACTAGCTATTATGTATTCACCAGCAACTGCAATAAAATAGTGAGGTAGGCCTATATTAAGATTACCATTAAAAACACATTAAATTACACAAACACAAATTCCACACCATTCCATTAATTTACAATTGCTGGATAAGGAAAATAAATGAATAATTTTAAATGAATAATTCTTTATTAATAATTAATAATACAATTTGCGTTATTAAAAATTATATATATATATATATATATATATATAGATTTCTGAAAAATTTCTATTCAATATATTTCTATAATTTAATCTTTTTTTCAGGCCTGGAAGAAGTAAATCCTTTTTGGAATTGAAATTAGCTGAACCGAGTATGTATTAAGAGATCATTGAATATACCTCTGAGGCAGAATGGGGCTTTTTGAGAAATATTATGCCTTTAATGATTCATTAAAATAATATGGTAAGACATGAGAGTGATCCTCACTGTAAAAATGAATGAGCTAACTTAAAAAAATAATTAAGCAAACAGCTACAAACTAATATTTGAGTTAGACTGGTTGTTCACCCAAACTTACATTTTTAAGTTAAATCAACCCTTTTCATGGGCAAGTACAGTAAGAAATGATGTATTTGTTGAATGTTAGGGGGCTGAATAAACTAGAAACAAGTCAAGTAATTAAGAAACATGGTTCTGAAATCCACTAAACTCAAATCTGTTTAGTTGGTAAATACATTCAAAAAGTCAACAAACCAAAAGACACTAATCAAACTATAAATACAAACAAACATTTTTTTTATTTAGGTCTCATTGAGATCAAAAATCTCCCAAGAGAGACTTGGCCAAGGTAGCAGCCATATCTCTTTAAAAGCAAACTCAAACTTTGAAAAAATAAATATATTAGAATTTCGATGATTTATAATGTAGAAAGTGCCAGGAGGTTATTGTAATAATTAGGGACCTGTATTTTGTCAGTTTATCTCTCTCCGTGACGTGCTGGTTTAATCCCTCTGCTGTAATCCTATTAGACCACACCAAATTATTACTGAGATGTAATCATGATGCCCATGCAGACAGAGGCATTATTATCCGAGACAGAGCACAGTAAAGAAAGGCAATCACAGCAAACGGTCAGGTAAGAATTACATTTCTCTAACTCTTCCTCTGGTTAATGAGCACAGCAAACATGGTTCTCTGGGATAGTTTTCCTTATGGGATATAGTTCTGTATATAGGATGCACAAAAAAATCCATATATTCCATTTTTTTTGACATCACTATACAAGGCCAGGTTCAGACAGGACACATTTCTAAAAAAAAAAAAAAAAAAAAAAAAAAAAAAAAATAACTTGGTGAACAATATTTCTAATAATGTTTTATTAAAATGCAATGATTTAAATGTTCTGGTCTATAATACTGCAATAACAACTCTTAAAATGTTCTATTTATGAAGCATAGGGTTCTTTACTCAACTCCAAAGAACCTTTTATGCTAATAAAGGTTCCATAATGACAAGAAAGAACCCTTTTAGCACAAAGGTTCTTTATAGGCTATTATTTATTCATATATTACATTATTCTGAAACATTTTGTAGTTGTAATTAAATTATTGTTTATTAAACTGTTACTTAATATCACATTTTAATCATGCTGATTTTTGGAGGAGATGAACTAAAATGGCACTCTTCGGGTGATATTGATTAACTACATAAAATGATATACTGTACATATATACAATTTGTAACCCCCATATCTTGAACTTTGTGATCATTCGCAAATACATTTCAGGGTCTTGATGTTTGTCATTAATATGAAATATTTAATCCGGAAAGGACAAAACAAATGATAAACAATGAACCCAAGGTTCCATATAGAACCTTTTTCCTGGTTACATAGAACCCTAAAGTGTTCTTATAATTGAACTTAAAGGGTTCTGTATAGAACCTTTTAGGGGTTCTAAATACGTAGCGCTGATAGAACCTTTTCTTCTAAGAGTGTAGGCCTTAGACTTGCTTGCATGAATCCTGCAACGGGCACATTTGGTAATGGAATTTGTTCATGAGAGTGAAAATATGTAAAATAGAGCCAATTATTCGGATTGAACAAGATTATTTCTGACGTATTTCAGAGTGCGTCTTGTTCACAGCATCCAGAGTAGTAACGAATCAGCAGATTTCTTTAAGCCAGCTGCTCACATACACATTGGAGGCACACAGAGAAGGCCATAAATATTTTGTTTTCAAATTTATTCAGATGTATGTTTGTGAAGCATTGCTACAACTGCCGTGCAATCAATCTCAGAATGTATTGTTATTTGTACGAAAACAGAAAGACTGTGGGCACTTGTGCAACAAACACATTACTCACATCAATATAATCTGATTGTAATAATCCATCACCTATAAGAGAGTAATCTGCTAATTCCACCTCAACCTGGATAATTGTAACAGACCCTGACAGTGTCAAAAACTCAAATAAAATCTGCAACATCAGACTGACTACACCAGTAATCGATGGTAAACATAAAACTTCCCATCTCGTCTCATATGGTCTGGAAATATAGAAGAAGTGAGGAAATGTCATTTTCAAGTCATTTTGTTAGAGGATGTTGCACAAAATGGGCATAAGATCTGTAATATCTATCATCAGGTCTCTAGAAGATTCATCATGTCAGGTTCACCTGAGATTGAGGAAGTACCAGCAACACAAACAGGTAAAAACATCTATTGATTATACAGTAATGATGAGATAATACTGGAGATATACTATAGACTATAGACCTATATACTAGACCTGATTTAAACTAGATTCATTCATCAATCCATTGCAACTCAGGGCCCAAAGGTGTGATCCATGACTGGAGGAAATTCAAACTTGAGAGTGAGGACCATGAAAGCATCCCTCCCAACAAGAGAGAGCTCCTCAGACAGATGTCCAACCCCAAATCCAATAATGACGACACCCATGGAAAGATAGGCCGCAAGGTTGTGAAAAAACCCCTACTGATATCTACACAACACAATCAGGAAATCATTTTAATTCCAAGAATCCAGTACACATGGCTACTCATACTATGAATTACACTTTTTACATTTTAAAATGATAGTAGATGTGATAAAATAACATGAAAACATGCAGTGATATAAAATATGAAATAAATCTTCATGATGGAGTCATTGTGCTTTATAAATGCAATGCTACGTTTTAAAGAATATTTGAAGAGTTCAGATGCAAAAGCCTCTAAATGCCATTTGAAATTTTCTTCTAAAATGATCATTTTTATCAAGCTTGTATATTTAAGTTCAGTACTTTCACTTAAATGGCAATGAAGATTACCTATTAATTGTCATTTAAGTGAAATTACTGAACTTTTTGTGTATTTTTGATCAAATAAATGGAGCCTTTGGTGAGCATACAAGTCTTCTTTAAAAATGAAGAGTTCAGATGCAAAAGCCTCTAAATGCCATTTGAAATTTTCTTCTAAAATGATCATTTTTATCAAGCTTGTATATTTAAGTTCAGTACTTTCACTTAAATGGCAATGAAGATTACCTATTAATTGTCATTTAAGTGAAATTACTGAACTTAAATATATACAAGCTTGATAAAAATGATCATTTTAGAAGAAAATTTCAAATGGCATTTAGAGGCTTTTGCATCTGAACTCTTCATTTTTAAAGAAGACTTGTATGCTCACCAAAGGCTCCATTTATTTGATCAAAAATACACAAAAAGTAGTCATATTGTTAAATATTAATACAACTTAATTTTTTTTTTTTCAATTTTAATATTTTTTAAAATGCACTCTAAAAATTGCTGGGTTGTTTTAACCCAACTTTGGGTCAAATATGGACAAACCAAGCCATTGGGTTACATTTTTTAATTACATTTTAACACAAGTTTGGGTTTGTCCATTTGACCCAAAGTTGGGTTAAAACAACCCAGCATTTTTAGAGTGTGTCACATGATTCTTCAGAAATCAATCTAATATGATGATTTTCTGCTCAAGAAACATTTCTTATTATTATCAATCATGAAAACAGCTTTTTTTCTTTTCTTTTTTTTTGGTGGAAACCATGATACATTTTTTTCAGGAATATTTGATCAATAGAAAGTTCAAAAGAACAGTATTTATGAGAAATAGAAATCTATAATTTTTTAAAAAACAATTTAATAGATCCTTGCTAAATACACTTTTTTTTTCGCCTTCAATATTTGGTTTAATTCATTAATAAAACAAAATGCCAATTTTGTTTCGTAAAAAAAGAAAAAAAATCATACATAAAAATAATTTATGAATAAAAATTATTATTAATTTACAGTGTAAATTAAATGGTTTTTAATTCAAGCGTGTCCAGATAATTGACTGACAGTGTGAGTGTTTTGTAATGTTTATTAACACGTTGCTTTGTCTGACCACACGCAGATGAGCGTTCAGGAATACGAGATGATCCAAGAAGAGGACGAAGCGTGTCTGCGTAAGTATCGCAAGCAGTGCATGCAAGAGATGCACGGACGGCTGAGTTTCGGGCCTAAGTTTGATGCCGTGTTTGAGTTGGATAGCGGGGAGGCCTTCCTGGATGTCATCGAGAAAGAGCACCGCCTGACAGTAGTGGTGGTGCACATCTATGATGACGGGATCGGAGGTTGTGTCGAACTCAACAACTGCTTGACCTGCCTGGCAGCAGAATATCCCACCGTCAAATTCTGCCGAATCCGAGCCTCTGCCACCGGGGCGGGCGAGCGTTTTCCAGACGACGTTCTGCCCACCCTGCTGGTGTACAAGGCTGGAGAGCTGCTGGGCAACTTCCTGTGCTTAACAAAGCACCTGAATGAGGAGTTCTTTGCCACGGATGTGGAGAACTTCCTAAATGAATACGGGCTGTTGCCAGAGAAAGAGATGGCAGCCTGTCCCGATGAGGAAGAGAACACGGATGTGGTTGACTAAAGGAAAATTTAAAGGGTGGAAGTGAATTATATTAGTCAACCTGTCAGACTTGTTACTGAGATAGATCGAGTATGACTCTGTGACTACTGGGCCATGACTCCAAAAAACACGCTTACCTAAAGGCATTTACTAACACGTCATTTACAGCAGTTAAATTCTTCGTAGGGTTATAAAAGTCATACAGTCATGCTTGTTTCATTGCCAATGAGTTTCCATGACTTTTTGACCTTTCCAGTAGCTTTTGATTACTGAAAAGTAGAAGAAAGTGAAACAACTGATTGATTTGTCAGAGCCATATAAGACAAGTTTGAGTCCCAAACTGAGGTCCTTTCCTGATCCTGTTTTTCCTCAGACTATTTATCTCAAAGGCAAAATTGCCCCACAAATATAATCTTCAGGGGAAAAAAAATATTTACTCACAAATTGCACATTGGTATGGTTTATGAAGAAGCTGATGGAATATTTTATATTGAATGTAATTAATTTTAACATATACCATTCAAAAGTTTGAGATCATCAAGATTTTCTTTGAAAGTAATCAATACTTTTATTTATCAAGGATGCATTATATTGATCAAAAGTGACATTAAAGATATTATAATGTTACAAACATTCCTATTTCAAATAAAGTTTCAATTCATCAAAGAATCCTGAACAAAATGATAGTTTCCACAAAAAATTAAGCACAACCGTTTTCAACATTTAAATGATCAATGTCATCGCTCCCGATGTTTAATATTATTTTAATATTTCTTGAGATCCAAAACAGCATATTAAAAAGATTTGTGAAGGATCACTGAAGACTGGAGTGATGATGCTGAAAATTCAGCTTTAATTGAATTTTTAGGAATAAATTACATTTTAAAAGAGACTTTTCAAAAACATAAAAAGAGAAATCTAACTAAACCCAAACATTTTGACCGGTAGTGTATATTCATCACAGAAATAAAACTCTCCTGAAATGTCCTGGTTTTCAATGGGAGAATCCATCTTTTTTTTTTTTTTAAATTAAGGCTTGTCACACGGAGCAGTTTGGTATGAAAGTCAAATTGCCACACAATGACACACTGTACTTGTCATCTATTTTGTGTTGAGCCGCTATCCGCTTAAATAATAAATTTTTATCAGAAAAAGTGTGATTTCATGTTGTCACGCAACACTAAATGAATCGGGTGACTTCAATGAACGCAGAGAGGCCAAGAACCATCCTCTGTCTTTTATGTCTTCATGACTATACAACTAAAACTTCAGGTAAAACACGTCCAGACATGTAGCCAGCTAACTCAAAGATCACAGGATTACTGAGGAGGGTTTGAGAGAGTATTCATATGTAAGTGCTTGTTTGGAGGTGCAGATGAATGTGGGTTTCGGTCAGCGTATCATTGTGAAAACTAATTGACTATGTTAAGGATACACATGACGAATTTGGTACACTGTAAAAATGAATATGTTTTATCTAATCAATAAAATTGTGGCAACAGATAACAAGCAATATTATTTATTAAATTGAACAAATTAGAATTGAGTAATAGTTAATAAAATTAATATTCTAATTAATTCTAATTTGTACAATTTAATTAATAATATTGCTTGTAATATGTTGCCACAATTGTATTGATTAGATAAAGCATATTATTTTTTTTCAGTGTACTTTAGAACGGGGGTACAACCATTATGCTCTGATCTTAAACTGAGAGGGAAAAAAAGTAAACAAAAATGAAATCTAAACTAAAGTTCACCTAAATGTTTCACTGTCCTTGCCACTTTTTTTTTACATGGATTTATTTTAATGGATTTGCAATGTAAAAATCATAAGTATTCATTACCAGGGGGTCCTTCGTCTGTAAAGGTTGAAGATGGCTGATCATCCCACACTCTCACACACAAAAAATGTTTCCGGCAATTATATTTAATTACATTAATTTAATACGTCAGTTCCTGTATGCCTTTCATGGTAAGTGGTTACACAAGCCAGAAGAAACCCGTTTGATAATGACATGACAAATGGCACACTGGCAATACAGGAAAATACTGCCACAATCCACAAAACTGCAATCATTCTGCAAAGACATGTAGGATAATGACAGTTAACGCTTTTCTTTTGATCTATTATTAAGGTTGCACAAGTGAAACATGTTACCTTTAAGAAATCTTAATCCACTCTCAAGGAAAAAAATGATAAAAACAAAACAAAACATGATTGTGTAATTTGCCTTCTAGTTAACTGCCACTGGTATATTACCCAATTAACTTATTTAAAAACATATATTTCGAGCTACACTATGAAAAATATGTGAACGGTTTCAAATGAACGGATTTGTCTATTCTGTTATTAAAGTATAAATCCCATCCCAATCACAGTACTTCATCACAAAAATAACTCTTTTTACAACTTTGTGGCAACAGTTAGAAGAGAAATGGTTTGACTGGCCTGAAAAAAGCCCACCCCATGACCTCATTGATGCTCATGTGTATAATTTCAGAACAACTACAAAAGAATAAACCCATGAATGAGCATCAGTAAGGTTAGACAGTGTGTTCGGCACAGAATTATCTAGATTGTCATTATATAGCGCAACATTAAAGGAGTAGTTCACTTTAAAAAAAAACTTTTGCTGATAATTTACTCACCCCCATGTCATCCAAGATGTTCATGTCATTCTTTCCTCAGTCGAAAAGAAATTAAGGTTTTTGATGAAAACATTCCAGGATTTTTCTCCATATAATGCACTTTACTGGTAACCAAACGGTTCAAGGTCCAAAAGACACTTTCAGTGCAAACTGCAAACTGTTCAAAGGGCTTTAAACTATTCCAGACGAGGAATAAGGGTCTTATCAAGGGTCTTTATAACCTCAAATGGTCGCCTTGCTCTGTTCTGTGATGCGCGTTCGTGACTCCCCTGTTCGAACTCGTTTATCAAAATGAACGAATCTTTTTTCGTGTCATTGGTTCATTCAATGAACGAAATGAACGAATTGACTCGGGAAAAGATTAGTTCACTTTGATGAACGAGTTTGAACAGGAGAGTCATGAACACGCATCACAGAACAGAGCAAGGCGACCGTTTGAGCTTATAAAAAAAAAAAAAAGCGATCGTTTCGCTTAATAAGACCCTTATTCATCGTTTGGAATCGTTTAAAGCCCTTTGAACAGTTTGCAGTTTGCACTGAAACTGTCTTTTGGATCTTGAACCGTTTAGTTAACAGTAAAGTGGATTATATGGAGAAAAATCCTGGAAAGTTTTCATCAAAAACCTTAATTTCTTTTCGACTGAAGAAAGAATGACATGGACATCTTGGATGACATGGGGGTGAGTAAATTATCAGCAAAAGTTTTTTTAAAAGTGAACTACTCCTTTAAGATATGTCTTCACTCGAATAGCCAAACCTGTTTATTAGAAAGGAGTCTCCACATACTTTTGCCATATAGTGTATTTTACATTACAATAATACTATAATAGACTTATAATCTATAATCTATTATAGTATATTGAAAGATTATATAGTATATTATACAAATATACACACTCACTTGTAAATTCATACAGACTTATTTGCTATTTCCATCATCACTCACTAAAATACAGCAGAGATGTGGCTGTGGCAAGGAGAGCAATGGTTGCTGCTACTGCCACACCTGTGTGTTTGAGAGAGAGAGAGAGAGAGAGAGAGAGAGAGAGAGAGAGGGTCACACTGCCCAACTAACAAGAACATGGAGTCACTCACACTGTATCATTAGATAATGGATGATTATAATTAACAATATTGTCAAGCCCCATTTAATACCACGATACAACGAGAATGATTTATTGTAGTAAGAAATAGAGAGTGATTTAATATTTATACTAATAATTATGAATAATAGGCACTTACCAGCATAGTATTGAGGGGCTTTGTGAATCTGGGGATTTTCAACTTGAACTTCTGACATGACACGTTTACTAGAATCATCAACGTGGCAGTCATTCATCTCCAATTCAGGCGAGAATACTGGGGGAGAAAACATGCAGAAACATGTAAAAAATCTAGGTATTGTAGGCTTAGATTTTTTTTAAAAAATGTAGGTATTGTAGGACCGAAGAGAGAAAAATGCAACAAGAAGGGGGAAAAAACCAAGAGTAAAATAATCTCATCTTTCCAAGGAGGAGGCCAAGTTGTGCTGTCATAAAGATGATGATCCAAAATTCCCGAAGGGCCAGAAATTACAAGGGATCAGACATTCTATAGCCTCCGGTTAAACATTTCTCTTACGTTTTTCCTTTTACCCTTACACTGAGAAAATATTTGTGGGCTTAAACTGGTTTGAACAAGATGCGAGGTGTAGCTGGCTATTATTTTAGAGGGGAACAAGGCAGGGTGTGTCTGTATGTGCTCATTTTGAAAAGACTTATCACTTAGCATTCTGTAAATCACACACACACCTACAGTATACACATTCTTGACCATTTAACCATAACGTCCCTACAATGTGTTCAGTCATCCAGTCAATCAAAGACTTTGCAAGGACTTGCTCTACATTGCACAATACCCTAGTAACAGATCTGAGGTCCACTTGAAAAAGCCTTGAGGTGATTCAAACCAATACAATAGTGAAATTTCACGAGACACTCAAATAAAGTGAGAGAATTAACTAATCACCAAAGCAAGGGCTCTTAAAGGAGTAGTTCACTTTTTAAAAAAACTTTTGCTGATAATTTACTCACCCCCATGTCATCCAAGATGTCCATGTCTTTCTTTCTTCAGTCAAAAAGAAATTGAGGTTTTTGATGAAAACATTCCAGGATTTTTCTCCATTGGTTACCAAACGGTTCAAGGTCCAAAAGACAGTTTCAGTGCAAACTGCAAACTGTTCAAAGGGCTTTAAACGATTCCAGACGATGAATAAGGGTCTTATCAAGCGAAACGATCGCTCATTTAAAAAAAATAACAAAGTTTAAGTTTTATAAGCTCAAATGGTTGCCATGGTCTGTTCTGTGATGCGCGTTCGTGACTCTCCAGTTCAAACTTGTTCATCAAAATGAACAAATATTTTTTTTGTGTCATTTGGTTCATTCATTCATTTTTATCAAAAACCTTAATTTCTTTTCGACTGAAGAAAGGATGACATGGACATCTTGGATGACATGGGGGTGAGTAAAGAGTTTTGCTCCAACCCTAATCAAACACACCTGAACAAGGAAACTATGGAAACTATGTATAAACCTTAATTAAACAATGTAATAATCAATTAAAAAATGAATTTATGCCCGTATGATATTTGGCTGTAGCCACAATCGACCAGTGATTTGGAAAATGGATGGATGAATGATTCAGCTGTGAGCGCCATTAATTTGGTGTGCGACTTTCACTGTGCATTATGGGTATTATGTAGCTGTTGAGCACGATCAGTTGTAAAGTCATTGTGGTAGTGCATTGTGGGATTGAATGATTGCACTAGACAACGTCCTCTATGGTTTCGGACCCCACTACAAATGTCTGTCCCCTCCAATTGTGCCTATTAAAGGTATAGGGGCGTTTTCGGACACAGTCTTCGGAAATACTAAAAGGTTAAAGGCAGGTGAGTTTGATCAAGTAAGATTAGAGCTGAACTCTGTTAAAAGTTGAGAACCCTTTCTTTAAAGTCTCATATTGAAATATGGGAAACATACACTGATTGCTCTCCATACTAATATCTATGTCCTCTTCTGGTGTTTCCCAGTCCAGCATCTCTTTAAGACGATCGGCCACATCAGCTGTACTTTCATCTGGGAACATGTAGTCACACACAGACAGGCCGGAGAAGGGCATTGGGGCAAACACACGCCGAGGAAGAGCCTGTTGCCCAGTGCACAGACCTAGAGAAACAGTATGGGAACTCATGTCTTGAATTGGGAATACATTTATTTCTGTACCTTGTAAAAAGACAAAAGGTGGCACCCTACTGCCATCTAGTGCTCAGTCTGATGTTTGCAAATGTTTGTTGAACTTCAATGTATAGGTTACCTTAAAAATGAAAAATTCTGAGATTTACTCTAAATGTTTAGTTCCCAAATTTCTTAAAAAATATCTTCTTTTATGTTACACAAAAGAAAGAAAGTCATACAGGGTTGGAACGACCTAGGGATGAGTAAATGATTATTGAATATTCATTTTTGTGTTGACTTTCCTTTCAATGACAATATGTTTGACATGATGGACCACTTTACCTTTGCGACTCCCTTCACTTATTAAAAGATCTTCCAGAAACATCTCCACTCTAGAGGAAACCGTGTTTATGATGTCTCTCTTAATGGCCTACCAGTGCAAAGGACAAATTAAATCAGTATCAAAAAATAACAGCCAAATACAAAAGTGTATTTAAAAAGGTTTTTGACCATGAAAACATTGTGTGAAATAATTTTCGTGGTATGGCTTATTTTATCTAAATAAATGAATAATAACCCAGTAAGAAATAACAGAAATTGTTTTTAAATGCTAGTTGAAATTAATTCAGGCATCACGACTTAAATATATTATATGAAAAATGTACATTGAGATTTGCTTAAAGGACAACTCAAGCAAAATGAACCTTTAGTCTAATTACACATTGTTACCTAGTCAACCGTTATCAAAGATTTGTTTTCATGATTGCCGAATGTAAATAGTTTTATCTCTAAAAACAGTTTAGCCTATAACGCTAGTATAATGCTAGTATAGGGCATAGAGTAATGACAAATAAAAATCGCTTGTTATTACCACTAACAAGGCTCAAAATAGCCCTACACTAACACGACAGCATAACAAGGGTCCCTACATTCAAACCGAAGCATTGAGAACTTTGTCAGTGTCCATACAGTTTAATAAGAAGATATTTTATGTAAACTTCGCGAATACAGGAAGAAGCCATCTTGGAAAAATAGTCTCTACCAGTCGATCTACGAACGCCAATCCAAGTGCGCTGGTGAGATGTGAATAAGGTGATAAAGTGAGCGCGAACAGTAGGCTACGTGTACATATTGAAGAGAAGAAAACGGTTTGTGTTTTAGTTTCTTCTGGAAACAACGGACCATATGAGATTCTGCACAGTTCAGCGCACATGGATCGGCGTTCGTAGATCGACTGGTAGAGACTTTTTTTCAAAGATGGCTTCTTCCTGTGTTCGCGAAGTTGACTGTTGCTGCGTCCCAATTCGCTTACTTATACTACGCCCTAAAAGTATGTACTCTTTTTGTGAGGAAAAAGTACATACTTTTGAGTGTGTAGCAAAAGAGTAGGCAAGCTTTGGGACATACTATCACGTCATCTTTAACGGACAGCTCTGTCGCGTGCTGCGTGCATCCTGTCACCGTAAACTGCCCTGTCAATCATCTTGTCACAGTTAAAATTCTCCATTCTATCTAATTTTATTTCCTACCGTTTTGGAGAGCACGTTCATCTGCCAGTTGTGGGTCTTTCATGCTCTTCTCGTGTTTGCAATTTGAATATAATGATGTATTTAAAACGTAATGGCTAAACATGTCTTTACAAAAGTTAAATGCTGCTGCAAATGCAATATAATGTGGACAACATTGAATAAATTCATTTTCGTCAGGTTAGATACTGATAATTAACCACTCAAAGCTCTTTATCTAAACCTCTCTACACAACCGCGGGGACTCGCGCGTCCTCCGTATCGACTACGTGTCTGTAGTTTTTTTTAACACTTTAACCGAATCCTCGTCCAACGCGCAATGGTTTGTGCAATATTATGAAGCTGCAGACTCGGAGCCTGCATCTACAGTCCCCCACCGAGAGTCCCGCATTCTCAGACCCCTCATTTTTCGAACACAGCGCCTCCTGCTGTTCAAAAGATCGAATAACACCCGCACAAAGAGTACAGTGCACGCTTATCCAAATGCAATTAAAAACAATAGGATGCAATATTACGGTCTTCAAATAAATTATCCAATAAATATTTGCGTTCCCTGCTTAATGCAGGTGCCAAAAAAACCCATTGTTACCGATGGAAGGGATACAATTACAGATTGAACTATCTTCTGAAAAATAGTCTGTGATATTTTATTGCTACAATGTTTGGTTTTTTTAATATATATATATTTTTTTATTCAAAATTCAAATTCCACTTTTTCTTTCAGTTCAACCTAATGGTCTAATTAACATTACCATGCTAACATAACAAAATCTGTTTTTTGATATTTTGAATGCGAAGCAAAATAAATCAGAATAGACAAAACACCAATAATAAACAATTCAGTAGGCTACTTTATTTAATGATCACCTAAACATCATCTTACTGTAAAGAAAAAAGGAAGAACAAACTGTGTTCGTGACTTTACTTTTCGTCTTTAATTGCATTAAAAAAACCTCATTTATAAGTCGCTTTGCATAATCATAAAATGATACGTTGCTGGAATCGGAAGGGGCAACTCCATCGATGTATGGTGTACTGGATACGATAGCACATGTCTTATGATCTTTCAAAAAGAAAGAAAAAAAATTCAAATTCATGTTGCACTGCTCTGACTGTAGAAGTGTCCCTTGAGATGTTTTTGAACTTTGGACAACTTTGTGGAGATATATGGGGGCACAAAATGGGCAGTAAAAATAACTGCAGCATTTATGACATATAAAAAAGTCCGAGGTTAAAGGCTAAAGTTAGCTATCAAAATATTTTCGGGGTAAAGAGGGCGAAGAAACATAACGGCTCAAATCTTGTTACAAACTACCTTTACAAATATTAAATGGACTATTCTTATGTTGTATCGATTAGCTAAATTAGTTTTATTAAAAAATAAATCAAACGAGCTATTACGATTCTCTAAATAAAATTGAAGACAGCCTACTCACGTTTTGGCTTAAGTTCTGTTTATCTGATACAATTTGATAGGAGGCGCTGACTCGAAAAACGAGGGGTCTGAGAATGCGGGACTCTGGGTGCAGGGGGACTGTAGATGCAGGTCTCCGAGTCTGCAGCTTCATACTACTCGGTTTGTGGGCAATATCAGCCGTTAGAGTGTGCATCGATCTACACTTCGGATTCTGACCGGAAAAAGTAAACCATCCGGGTATCTTTGAAACACATACTACGCTTTGGGACGTACTAATTCTATTTTCGAATACTATTTAGGACGGATAGTATGCGAATTGGGACGCAGGGACTGTGTATAAAATATCTTTTTATTAAACTGTATGGACACTAACAACGTTCTCAATGCTTCGGTTTGAATGTAGGGACCCTTGTTATGCTGTCGTGTTGGTGTGGGGCTATTTTGAGCCTTGTTAGTGGTAATAACAAGCGATTTTTATTTGTCATTACTCTATGCCCTATATACTAGCATTATACTAGCGTAGCGTTATAGGCTAAACTGTTTTTAGAGATAAAACTATTTACATTCGGCAATCATGAAAACAAATCTCAGGTAACGGTTGACTAGGTAGCAATGTGTAATTAGACCAAAGGTTCATTTTGCGCCAGAGTTGTCCTTTAAGATTTTAAGTTATTTAAGTTTTAGTGTTCAAAAGATTTTGTTACTGCAGATGACGCTAAGGTAATTTAAATGTAAAATGAGAGGAAATAAGCATTAACAGTCAATTAAATATCTAATATCGATATATTATAACTGATATGGTACCAAAATATTACTTATCCCTAAGCATAAAGCATTGAGAATAGGCTTTAATGACCTGTACTGCATGTCTGGCTTTGGGTTTGTTGTTGTGGATGTAGGCCCTGCAGTGAACCACCCCTCGAACCCTCATGGAGCCACTGCACAGCTGAACTAGAGCACTGGACCGCTCATCCAACTCTGGCTGCTCCTGTCACAACAATATTCTCATTATACCTTTGACGACACACAAATATATCCAATAGATAATGTTCATTATTAAGAGATTAAAATGAGCTCACATCTGAGACAAGGATCCGTGCTGGGAAAGTCTGACGATGGGTTGTCTTTAGGTTCTTTTTCTGAAAGAAAAAATATTTACTTCATCTTAAATTATACATTTACATTTAATCATTTAGCTGACGCTTATATCCAAAGCGACTTACAATTGCTATATTTGTCAGAGGTCGCACGCCTCTGGAGCAACTAGGGGTTAAGTGTCTTGCTCAGGGACACATTGGTGTCTCACAGTGGATTCGTACCCGTGTCTTATCCACTGTGCCATCACCACCCCAAATTTGAAATAAACATGACAGAGAAATGACAGAATTATGTTTTTACCTGTCCTGAGATGAGTTCAGAGTCATCTAATGCCTGTCTGCCACTTATGAGACAGTTACCAGCCTCAATCTGTTTGGCCCACCTCGTAAGACAATCCTGGACATGGGGGCAAAGAAAGATACATTCCCATACTGTCTGACAAACACTGTCTTGTCTTCATATACCCCATCTGACTTCTGTCTCACCTTTATGCACTTGTCCGTGTTATCGGAGGAAGATCCTGTCACAGGAATCTGCAAATCCAGCTCAAGAGAGCAGGTCAACATGGGCCATGATGACGAGACACATGTCTGATACTTCCAGTCTGCTGGCTTGGCCGAACTCTATAAATCAGTATAGGGTTGTCACGATACCATACACATATCTCACGATAATATACCAGCTACAGCATCACAATATACAACATAACTTCACAACATAACTTAAAGTACTACCGTATTGACGATACTACTGTAGTACCCAAAATGTCTTTCACCTTTGGATCTTTTACATCAAGCGTTTTGCAGACAGTTCTGTACATTTTAAGGTCAAGGATCATGCAGACTTTTGAGGTTATTTATAGTGGGTGATGCTTGTAGATCACAGAGGAAATTATGTAGGGATGTAGTGTGCAGGATACTTCTTTGTTTTGGAGCAGATGTGCAGGGTGACTCGATCGGTCACATCCTCCTCAGTCAGTTGCCACAATCTTCCCTTACTTATGCATTTATCCATGGCAAATATAAGCTATAAAAAGAGATCACCACAAAATAAGCAATGAAGATATGATGGCCAGCAAAATCATCTTTAATAAAAGCTCAAATGTGGTCCAGTCAAATTTTTAATTATTAATATCATTTAATTAAAATGTATTTTTTAAAATAACCTAAAATAAAACTCATAATTAGTAAATTAATGTTTTTTTTTCTATTAAATACATTTCATTTAAAAAAAAAAACAGTACCCTTTTTAATGTGTTTTGTGCATCTTTGGAGAGTTCAGGTGGGGTCACTAAAAACAAGCCAAGAATACAAAGACCTCCTGGTAACATGCGGGACACCTAGAATAGAGAAAGTCAAAATCCTTACCTGCACAACTAGACTGTAAAAACATTTCAAAACCATTGAGAGTGAATGGCAAGACATCAGGATACCCACCTGCCTGGCATGTTCTGTGACCCACTCCACATCAATGTCATCCAGTGGGCTGCTTCCTCTAGAAGACTTCAGCTGCCCCTCACTCTCCCTCTGAGGAGTTTGCACGGCCAGCACCACAAAATCTCGTTGAGGAGAGGACTGTAAAAAGAAAATGTTATGATAAATTGTTCTGTGAACTGACACGACAAAATATAGGTTTGTTTAGTTTCCTCACCTGACCAGCCAGGAGTCCAGTCACACATGATCCGGGATCTGCCAGAAGACCACCAAGATATTTTTCCACAGTTTCATCAACAAAGTAACTCCTACCCATGATTCTGCCCATACACATAAACAATACTACATATCAATATGTAAAACAACTACACAACATATATTACACTTCCCAAACAGATGCCAAATAATGTTAAATATCTTTATACAGAGTTTCACTGAGGTATTGCAGTTATTAAGGGACAAATTATTTGAACTATTATCATTATAGAGCAAATGAATCATTAAATAAGTGTCAATCTTCTCAATGACAGTAAATAAACAAACAAACAAACGGGAAAAAGGTGTATTTAATCAGCCTTTTGATCGTGAAAAATATGTGATTTATGACAGATAACCAATAAAGTGCCAGTATTAAAATTAAAATAGCATTTATGCATCACACAATATAATGTATACAGTATGAAAGATTATATTATTATCCCAGAAATCGCTGTTTCTACAGCTAAATTCCAAAATATAGAAGAGAAACAGTATAACGTCTTGAATGAAAACTAAAAGAAATACATTTGCAAGAGTAAACGTCTTTATAAAAATCAATGAGAATAATGACGTTTTACGAAACATACAATGTAACAACGATGTTTCTGAAATAATTGCAAAGAAAGAAAATCCTTTAAACGTACTTTCAGAGACCCTTCTCCAAACAGCTGATGAGTTCTCACCACCAGAGGTATGACGTGACGCGTCGGCGCATCAATCTGACGCAACTCAATTCAAACGACCTGATTGGACAATATGCTCGTAGGTCCGTGGTGCTTTGCGACTTTAGTTTGCATCGCTCACATATGACGTAGAGGCAGTAGCTAATGCTAACTTTCGCAGGGAGCCGGAGAGATGGCGGCACTTAGAAGTGAGATTAACAAATTGCCGAAAGCCATTCAGAACAAGCTCGAGAAGGTTCTATCAGAGCAGCAGACGGAAATAGACTCACTGAAATCTCAGAACGAGCGGTATAAAGCAGACTGCGGTGAGTAACGGTACCAGATAGTCATTCAACAGCTGTGTGTCTTATAAAGTAGTGTACTGCATGACTAGACAGCATGTTTAGGCATCATAAACGCAGTTAATGCAGTTGTTTGGGTGATTATTCTGGAGAGGCTTCTATCTTCTGCATAAATTATCTACCACTACCAAGATGAGTGTACATAAGTTTTTGGTATAAATACTTAGCTAGTTAATACTGAGATGCAGTGACAGACCAAAGAACATGTTTGTCTTTTTCATTTAAAGAATATGTGTAAAGTTATGAGAGATAAATCTATAAAGCATAATTCACTTCTGGTGGTATTTTATTCCGAAATCAGCTGTCTTAATAATCAAGTGTCAAAAGAGCCATTGGTATCAATTGTCCCAGTGAAACACGTTACAGATGTTTGTTTTTAATCAACAGAGCAACAATACTTTAACCTTGAGAAGAAGCTAGCTGAGAGTCAGGAGCAATTCTTGTCCCAAAGTAAAGAGTATCATAGTATTAAAGAGGAGAACATCCGTCTAAGTAAGTATTATGCTTTATTCGATTTTTATATGTGGATTGTTTTGACACAGAGCTCCTGTATAACATGGGTGTGCTTGTGCTTCTTTTTTTTTTTTTTTAAAGCCAAGGAACTAAAGAAGTTGAAAGATATCGAGGAAGAGCAGGGAACAACGCAAGAGGTAAGGATTTGAGTTTCTCACCTGCCATGCTTTGTATGGGCCTTAATATTTGAGCAGTTAAAGATGATGTTAATATCCCATTCCCAATGTTTTTGCATTTCAGAGTACGCCACAAAGAGCCAAGTATGAAATTGAGGCAGAAAACCGAGAGCTCTCACGGTTGCTTGAGAAGAGATCTCAAGAGGTGGAAAACCTCAGTGGTATGGCACTGTTTTTTACATTATTGGTCAAGGTTGTCATTGACATTGGATTTTTATGTCAAGATTGTTTTCATTATTGAGTAATTAGAGGGCTTTTTTATTTGCACGTTGTGTTATTGCTATACAGAAATGTGGAAATTCTTCATACTTGATACTGTTGCAAAAACCAGTTAAGTATTTATTTGTTGTTCAACTAAACTGTCAATCAGAAATAATGGAAATGGCCACACTTGTATTTCAAACAGAAATCTGTGCACTATGTATATTATATACTGCGTGTATTGTAGTAGTATTCTTCTCTGAACATATCCATTGTTTTGTGCCGATTTTTTTTTTCTTTAACCAAAGTACCAGTATTTTGACGTGTAATTGCTAACATGTTTCTTGTCTCTATGGTCAATATACAGAGGATCTCAAACGTCTCAATGACAAACTCGCAGAAACCAGCACAATTAAGATGGAGCTCCAGCTTAAACTAGATGAACTTCAGTCATCTGAAATTTCTATCCAGGTAACCAGTGACTCTCATTTAGCTGTTATGTGGTCTCTAATATGATGAATTAATACATCTGACCCTTGATTACATATTTTTATTTGAACATTTAAATGGTCTACTGTGTTTCTTCTCATCAGCATCGTGAGAAGCGAATGGACCAAGAAAAGGAGCTTCTCCAGAACCAGAACACATGGCTGAATTCAGAGCTGAAGAGCAAGACAGACGAGCTGTACACAGTATTCAGAGACAAGGGCAAACAGATCCTGGAGCTCACATCCTCTCTTGAGACAAAGAAGGAAGAGGTTTGAGGAATTGTTGAGGCGTTTATTTTAAATATTGGGCTGTAGTCTTATTAGATCACCTGTCTGTATCAATCACGTATGTCATAATCAGGTGACCAGACTTCAGGACCAAGTGAACACGCTCAAGAAAAACAACGACAACATGCAGAAGAGTACTGAGAATCTGATGAACAAACTCAAAGAGGTTCACTATCCCCTTATTCTTGTTTGCTCCACCACTTGACATAGAAGATAAGTTTAATCAAGGTGCATTGTTTGCCTTATATTTTTAGGCTAAAGAACAACGGGCCTCGATGGAGGAGAAGTACCGCAATGAGCTGAATGCTAACCTTAAACTCTGTAATTTGTACAAGGTCAGTAAATGTTGATATTTGTTATGCAGCATCCAACGTTAATGTGTGGTATCAAAGCTGAATCCTTTTTTTGTTCACAGAATGCAGCAGCAGACTCCGAAGCCAAGAATGCTGAATTGAACAGAGCAGTTGAAGAGCTCAACAAACTTTTGAAGGAGACGATGGAAGGTTTGAACAATTCTTTATAATGGTGTTTTTTTTTTCTGATTCATTCATTACACTGAAACAGGAAGGTTGAGAACATTACATTGTGGGTTATAATAGTACACATAGTGTGTTCAATTGTATACTGCACATTTTGGGACCTATTGAAGGCCATCCTGGTATTGCATGCACAAAATCTGTGCAAGGTATGCAAATACTGCAGATGTCAAAATGTTTTTCTGAACATATCTATTGTCTGTTTTGTTTTGGGTGGTTTTAAAAATTCTCTCATTGCCTCACTGTGAATGTTTTAAATGTGCCAAATTGAAATGCCTCTTATCAACAGCCTATAAAGGTACAGAGAAGAAGCTGTCAGAGCTGCAGGGTGTGAGGGAGAAAGCAGAGTCTGATCTACATGAGAAAGTCAGGAATCTGGAGAAAGAGCTGGAGAACTCCAACACACGCCTTGCAGACTTTAAGAGAAGAGGTAATGCACAGACAAAAAACCTGCCTAAGTTTGTGTCAGTTTGGCTAAAGAATCTTTTCAGATTCTTGAATCATGTAATTGTGCAAGATTTCAGTCTGAATTTGTAAACTTCAAAAGGTGTTCCAGCTCTCACAGAAGAAGAGCTGACAAACCTCTCGCCAACTGCAGCTGCTGTGGCCAAGATTGTTAAGCCAGGCATGAAGCTAATGGAGGTATAAAATGTTTATCATAAAATAATTCAAAAAAAAATGTTTTTGGCCCATTAGCATGATTGATTATGTTTTGTCATTATAAGTAACTTGTCTGTATTTGCTCTCAGCTGTATAATGCCTTTGTGGAGGCACAAGACCAGCTGCACCTGGAGAAACTGGAGAGCAAGCGTGTCAACAAGGTTCTAGATGAGATAGTTCTGGAGGTGGAGAACAAAGCTCCTATCCTGAAACGCCAGAGAGAGGAATACGAGAACATGCAGAAGTCCATGTCTAGCCTCTGTGCCAAACTGGAGCAAGCCATGAAGGTTTGCACATATATGAGAGTCGGCAAAAGAGAAAAAAAAAACATGATGGTCAATCAGTTGATACTACTCTTTGTCTCTTCTCTTGAATATCAGGAGGTCCATCGACTGCAGAAGGTGGCCGATGAAGCGAATAAAAGGGCTTTAGGGCTAGAGAGAGATAATCAGAGATCAAAGAGACAGTTAGCAGACATGTCTGAACAGGTAAACCTCTTACAATAAATATTGAGGTGAAACACCTATTTTCAGGCTCAGACATCACAGTAAATCTGATCACAAAATCAACATTTTTATTTTTCATGATTCAGGTAAGTGTGCTGCTGGTGGAGGTGGAGGAGGCACGCGGTAATCAGGTGGTGCGTGAGGACTTAACCTCAGCTGTGAGCAGCAGCTCTGAGGTTCAGGGGTCACGGCAGGTGGCCTTCCGAAGCGTCCAAGAGCTTCAGCAGCAGAACCAGAGCCTTCTGGCCCAGATCAGAGACCTGGAGGAGCAGAGAGAGAGGGACCAGAACCAGGCTAAGACTGCCAGGTACTGAACTTGTGATCTTGGAGATCACAAGGCATATAGACCACATGAATAAGTACACATATTTCATACATTGCCCTGCTATGCTTCAGTTGCACTATGAATATAAAAAACCAGTATCGGCTCTTTCAGACAAACAGAGATGGATCAGAGTCTAGAGAAGGTTCAGAAGGAACTGGAGCAAATCAAAGATCAGCAAAACCACCAGAAACAGCTGGCTGACTCTGCCATCCGACAAAGAGACATGTATCGTATCCTGTTGCAGACAGCCGGAGTCGAGCTCCCACCACAGGGTGAAAATTTTCCCTTTACGCCAAAAGGCTTCTCCTTTGTATTGGTATTTGATGAAATGTTAAATGAAGTCCTGTGCTTGTGTTCAGGTTCAGAGGCTGGATCTCAGTCCACCACTCCCAGCAGGCCAGGACCCATGTCCACAAGATCTACACCCCTGAGATCTGCAGCTTCAGAATCTGCCCAGGCAACTCAGGCTAAAGCAGCACTTAAACAGGTTAGACAGATTGACTCACCTTGGTTCTCTACTTTAAAGACAGAATTCTTCCGAACCTGTATGCTTTTGTTGAATGGAAAAGAGCAGCATACGCATTTTGCCATTTTGTAAATTTGAACAATTTTCATATTTGGGTGAATTTAATTTTATCCATTAAACTGTGTGTTTTCACCCCTCAGCTTAATGATGCCTTCACAACATATAAAAAAGAGAAGGCAGAAAATGACAAGCTTCTGAATGAACAGATTGAGAGGCTTCGTGGTCAAGTGTCTGACCTGCTCTCACAAAAGGCTAAACTTTCCTCTCAGCTGGAGTTCGCCTTTAAACGGTGAGGACAACTTGTCTGAAATATCTTTTAGCGTGGAATCTGTATTTCATTTGGATGTTTAATGTTCCACAATGGTCCGAAAATTTAAAAGTTTGTAATTTATCCTGAATTTTTGATTTTTTTATTAAATTAAAATCTGAAAATTTGGTGGAATGTTCGTAATGGTTTATAAAAACTGAATTGACAAAGTGAACATTTTT